TTTCTAAAATTCCTGTCATTAGAAAGCCCTCAGCTAAATCTCCGTTGAAAGCAATTTCATATTTCCGAAATTTTAAAATTATATCCGAAACCACGGGAATCAAACTAGGTCCAATGTTCTAAAAAATCATTTAAGGACTTTACACCTTTAGCTCTAGAAGAGCTCGCATCGTAAACAATCCTACACCTTCTAGTTCTTTCCTTAGGTTTTGTTATTTCGCTGTGCGGCATGAAATACGATACCTCCGTTATTTCCTGTGAACACTATACTCTCCTTCATTTCCTCTTCAATTACGGATTTATACTGCTGATAAATCTCAGGATTTCTAATAAGTCTATTTTTAAGACTTTCAAATCGTCTTAATGCTACTCCGAAATTATTTTCTAACTGCTCTGCTTCCGATTTCCATAATAAGCTGATATAGTATCTATTACCTTCTACCCGTATTTCCTTTTCAAAGCTCTGAAACATTTCCCTCACCTCGTTAGAAATCGCTGAGTCATTTCTAAGGCCCATCAAATCTAAAGTCCATAATGATCGTAATGAATCATTATGCAAGAAGAAAGGTTTACTATTGCCGTGTTTTGAGATACTATTTTGCTTTCTTTATCTTGAAGGCCAACTGGGACCCATCCAAACATAGTAGAAATTGCATAAATTTCCTTTCCTAATTGAATCTTTTTCCCCCTTACCTTCTTCCAGTAATAATCAACACCTATTAGAATTCCAACGCTTCTTTTACATAAACAAGCGTTCTCAATCTGCACTCATTCATCATTTTTAGTGTTTGTTTTGACGGCGTGGTCATAAGCGCAGCCGTAATGGCGTCAGTGACGAGAAAGCTGATTTTTATTTTGTTCTTTTGCTTCGCATCCGAAACACAGAATTCGACAACCTTATATGTTTTAGGTACTGTGTATTTCATTCCGAAATAATAAATAGACAATGTTTCTTCTCCAACAAATTTTAAGTTTAATTTCTTAATTACACTAATATGAACAAAACTTCGTGTAGCACCACAATCGAAAATTAAATTAGTTAATTCTGACTTTCCGTCATAATGAGCTAACACTGAACAGGTTTGCAATAAAGCATTTTTATTAAATGATTTATTAGATGGAACAACAGTAAGCGTGTGTTCTTTCGGGGAGTTTTGTGTTTCATCTACTGAATTGTCTTGCGACCTTTCACACAATTCTTTTATGTTTTGATTTGAAGCCGTTCGCGTTTTTTACGATTTGAACTACTCGTACATAGTGACTGATGACGCGACTTAAACCCGCATTTTAAGCAGTTACTTTTATTTCTACACGATTTCCAAATGTGATATTTTCGAAAACAAATAAAGCATCTATTTTCATTTCGTAACTTACACATTTTTTCTTTAATGCTTTTATCACAAGAAAATTAATTATGGGACTTTTCGCAGAAGATGCATGCACGATTATCAACAGCATTGAAACTGGCAGCCGTAGGTATATTTCTGTGAATTTTTTTATAATCAGACTTAGCATGTTCGAAACGGGGTAAAATATTTCTTTTATCTTGCATCAATAAATTCGACGCTTCACGACATTCAATTTCCCTCCTTATGAAGTCCAACAAGTCTGATACATTAATTTCTTCATTTGGGTTTTCCTTTGATTAAATTCCAGAAGGAACTCTTCTGGAATAGCTTTTAACAACGCAGGTATTAATAACTGACCAAATGAACCTTTCGTAACTCCTTGCGCTTCCAAATTCCGAACTGCAATTTCTATTTCATCATATAACCTATGTAAAGCTTTAATATTATTTGAATTCTGTACTGGTTCTAAATTTAACAGTTTGTTCATGAATTGACTAATTAATTATTTATTTTTTCCCGAATCTATTCCTTCAAAGTTTTTATACTCTCATCGTAATTTTTTGCATATAATTCTAATGAAGATACTACATTACTCGCGGCACCTGTAATGTTTTCAAGTATGCGAATTTTTCTATCTTACTAAGACTTTCCCTTTATTTTTGTGTGTGCTTTCGTTACTGTTCCAAAACTTCATAAATTTTTCAGCATCACCTAAATATTTCTCTAAAAGTCTATTTCAATTACAGAATGAATTGCCTCGTCTAATTCTTTCAAATTACTTTTCTTTTCTATTAATAATTCATGCACTTCGCATAATTCATCTGTATCTTTCTTTGCTAAGCTATCCTTGACTTTCTTTAATAGTTTAGATACTACCGTTCTCAATGCGGTTCTCTTTCGTTTTAATCTAGCTAGTTCTGCCATTATTTCGCGTTAATACGTAAATGTACCCAAGACTGCAAATTATAAAAATTCAAATCAAACACGTTCAAAATTTAATAATAATCATGCCCTTACCTAGGGCATGGTCTGGACATATCCTTCCTCGTAAAGTTCACTTTAACAAATCCAAAATTTCCGGTAAGATGCGCCATATAACAAACCTGCATTTAACTATGGCGGCCCGAAGAGCCAACACAAAGCATTCAGTGGTTCAATTTTTCTAATGCTATTTATTTTCCGTTATATTTACATATTTACAACTGCCCCTCTTGTCAGGCAGACTACCTTCACAGAAATCATATTGCCTAATCAAAACGATATTTCGTTTCTACTTACATGCATTGGGCTACTGCCAAGCAGCGCTCTCTACTTCTCTCTTTACAACAGTCTCAAAATTAAACTGCGCGCAGGCCAAATGCACGAACTGAAAGTAGCTGATGGGCTGGAATTTTTTTTGAACTTAATTTTAAATTTTAATTACTAAAAAATTATTAAAATATACATGAACTGTACTTGTCAGTGGTTAAGCCGTTAAGTCCATTAATAGCCTATGTAATAATCCTTGTAACATGGATACAAGCCACTTCCTCTTAAAAAGTTCTCCACAAAGACATTTCTAGCCTTATGTAAATACCATCGCATGTATTGTTGTAATCAGATAAACCTAAGACTTCAAAAATACATATATTTGTCTATTGACATATAAATGTGAATGAAAATAATGTAAAATTGGAATCAGATCATTAAAATCTTTAAACTTTTTTCTTCAAATTCCTGTCATAATATCTTAATTTACAAGAAAAATTTTTGTGAGTCTTCTAAAATTGCTTCAGAGGCTAGTTTGAGACCTCTGCCTTAGCTCACTATCTATGTTATCTATGCTTGAAGTGCATGTATATAAATGAGGCCGAACTTCAATTTAAAGAAAAAAATGTCTTTTTCAGACATTATGAATAGTAATTAAAATGCTTCAAAGCTTAGCATGTATCTTAAATAATGCTCATTTAGAGAAGCTAATCAAAGCCGGAAAGTTTTTCTGAACAGTGGAAATTGCAAAACAATGCATCTTTTCATTCTAATACTATAAAGATTTATTGAACAATTTTTCCTAGTAGAATTATATGCAAAAGTTGTATAATTTAAGAATAAATACTTCACATTGAGATAACCAAGAGGTTCTAAAAAGCTGTATTGCCTTACTGTTGAATGTCTAACCACGCTTAGCAATATTTTCAGTCTAATTTGTATTTAATAAATTAATGCTGTTTCTTTTTCTTAAAACTTACTTCTGTTTATAACATATCAAATTGTTTACAGAGTAAAAGAAGCAAGAACAATGCCTAGATAAGTATTTATTTGAATACGTATGTAAGCATTATATAATGCTCTATAATGAAGCAACATATAATATTCTTTATTGTTGATAAAGTAAGATTAATATCTTTTCATATAGGAAAATTTAAGGGCAATTTGAACTTTTTTTAACTTTATAATATTTGATTTTTTTTAACTTTATAATATGCTGGATTTCTGTGATTTATATATATATATAATTTTATGTGCATAATCCAAACTAGGGCTGCTTAGGAAGTCCTTGACTAATTCTTCCCACAGTGGTTAATTTTTGTATTTCCAGTGAAACTTTGGTTCACGAATTTGAATCATTCCTGAACATCATTCATCATCCGGAATAATCGTAAATCAAAACGGTTTTTCCCATATAAATTAATGTAAAATGAATTCATTTGCTCTCAGATCTTGAATGATTGCTTGAAAAAAAAAGTACCTTGAATGTAAGTTCTTAATGAAAAATTCATGGAATTTGATAAATCGCACACACATGCACAATATTTAATGCAATTTATTACATGTTACATCCACAATATTTAATGCAATAAATACTAAACATATAAAAAATAATAAAACTTGATTTAAATTTTATCATATCACTAAGAAGGAAAATTGATGAAGCCCCAAAGATGCAAAATGTTGTAATTTAAAAGGGAAATCCTGTTCCTTAAAAATATCAAATAATTGCAGTCTTTTTGTTTTCTCCCCTTCTTTTAATGCCACTCTTCTCTAATTGAAAATTGCTGGGCTTTTTTCCCATTAAACATTTGTTCAGCATGATTTATGTCTGTCTTATGTTTTGCAGTGTTCCTAAGGCAAGATATGACATTGTCATTTCAAATATTTATTCTATGGTTTATTGCTGCATTTATCAGGGTGATAACGCTCTATGACCTTTCCATCTTATCCCATTTTGTACAAATGTTGTGTATCAAAGAACTAGAAATAGCCTCCCTTCTATCTTTTTCTGAATATGTTTCCTTCATTGCATTAACTGCATTTTGAAATATAATTTGTCGCCAGCTTTTTTGTTCATAGCTCAAGATATCATTTACCGTGCGAGTTATTTTAAATTTGGAAAATTTGTTCGGGAACTGATTTGTCTTAATCTAATTTCACTGTACTTAAAAATTCATTACCCTTAAATCGTATATGAAACATGTCATTGACCTTAACAATGTCATTTCTCTTAATTGTCTCATCTTTATTTTGAGATATTGCTTGATTTTCATATTTTAAGATACCAAGTTATACTCATATGTTCTCTATAGTGTAGTATTCAGTTAAATTAAAAATATAAACCATATTTTCTGATTTATAGTTAGTTTCCTTAATCATTCACTTTATTTTATCCCTTTAGTTCTATTGGAATGGCAAAATCTGCTCTTGAAGCTATAAATGGGTGTAATCTTTTTGGTGACAAGGGAGCTTCATGGTCTGTAGTTTATGTTGACATTGATGCTCACAGTAGAAACAGAAGCATTTTTGAAACTCTTCTGCCACGAGAATCCAGTTCTAAGGTTTGCTTTTAGTTTTATTTCGTACGTTTAAGCAAACTAACTGCTATGTACTAAAATTTACATATATTAACCTTTTATTTCTAATTGATTTAAAAAAATAAAAAAAAAAGTTTTTTTTTAATTAACTTGAAAGTTGATGTGGAGTAGAACTTCAGTTACCGTATTTGCCGGCATATAAGACGCACTGGCCTATAAAACGCACCCCTTTTTATACACATTTTTGAAGGATAAAACTTTATTACTGATCATTATAATGAATTTACAGTATTTTAAATATAAAGTAATACAAATACAAAGTAATACTTTCTGCAGATGCCCAATCTATCTAGGAAAGAACACCTTTTAATCTTCGTCAAAACCCAGACACTTATCTCCAGAGCTAAATGAAGAGTCAATTGAAACCTCTTCTAAATTAACATCCGAGTCCTCATACAACAAATTATACTCTGTACCATCTAGTGCATTGCTAATGCCACACTTATTAAATGATTAAACTATTGTGTCTGTTTTCACAGCGACCCATGAAACTTTGACCCATTCACAAACTTGCGAAATGCTAGGCCTTTTCCTGTTCCTGATGGTGTAACCTCAAAATTTGAAGACTGCATCCAGCTGTTCCACTTCTTCATAAATCCCTTAAATGGTTTATTAATACAGACATCTAAAGGTTGAAGCTGACTAGTTAGTTAGGCCTTCCGGAATTACAGCTAACTGAGTTTTCAATTCTTTGTGTTTATTTTTAACATCTTCCATTTTGCGAGAACAAAGCTGATCCTATATTAGTAGGGCAGGTTTCTTCAATGCATGCGCATTCACTTAACTCAAATATGACACAAGATATGACAAAAGCAAACCTGTAACAGTGACAGGCAAAAGTGACATTTATTAGGAAACTTGAAGGAGGCAGTGAACACAAATGGTGGTTGCTTAAGGTCTGAATACCCTTCAAAGTATTACATCAAGAACCTGAAACAGCTTTTTAAGCAGTGAATCAGTTAATAGACAGCCTGATCAAACAACTGAATCTGAAGACCATTTTCTGACATTTTTGGTTGAAAGAAACTGTTATTGCAAAATTGTTTTATGGTTGGATTTTATGTTAGGAAAACCAATGGCTTATGTTCTCGTTTCATCTACAAAAGTAGCATATTTAAGGTATTGTCATCATCATGCTTAATGGAGCCAAGAGGAATGAAACCCAGTATCTTTTATTGATGAATCCAGATATAGCTTTAATTGTGATTCTAGGTGTGTTTTGATCTGGGAAGAGTGAGGAATGTGCAACTTTCTTCCCTTGTTCTTGGAAACTCTCATTTTCATGGAAACATTTCCATTATTTTGGGTGGAATCATCAAAAATGCTCTTATCAAGCTGCATATTCTTAATGGAAGATGGATAACTGGTTATAGATATGTAATGAGGTCTTGGAATCCTATGTAGGGCTGTTTAAAGTAATATTTTTGCCTAATGAATGACAGTGCTGGCATGCATTCAGTTAGCTCTGTGACCAGAATACTTAGTAACAGAAGATACCTCTCAACTGGCTCTAGGAGAAAAGCCCACATAAATAATACTCACTTAGAAATATATTTAAAAGAAATATGCTCTCATGGAAATAAGCCCATTGATAAAAAAAAAAATCCTTGTAGAAATTTTCTTATATTAATCAATCAATAGTTAATCAATTTGAGCATTGTGTACTTGCATTTTTTAAATAAAAATTATTTAAATTTTCCAAAAAATCTCTGGTGTATATTTCAAAAACTGTATGACTTGTAGATTATATAGCTATTTATACTATTAAAATCTGTATGCGTCTGTTTGTGTGCAACATCATCTCCTCCAGAGCGGCGGAGTGTTGAGTTTTGAGAGACATACCACCAGATTTGAAAAATTTGTCGGAAGCCATTTCAACCATTCTCATCTTCATACGATTTTAATAAGCTGAGATATTAATTAAAAAATCTTAATTTTTGCATACATTTTTTTTTTTAAGTGTCAACAATCTCGCTGGCGATAAAAATCAAGGTCATATTCTGACATTGAAGAAAGCATGCGATTGCATGTGACGTCACTTATGCTGAAAATTTTTCATTAATGTCAACATTTTAAATAAATAGCTGCTATTGGCAACCTATTTTTTGTTTCAGGTTAAGCTAATTGACATGATATGATATTGCCATATTAATGCTTTTATTGATATTGAGATAAAATTGTTATATTACATTAAATTTAAATCAAGATGTCATATGCATACTTGAAAAGTTAAAAGTTTTTGTTTCCTGGTTTGGAAACAAACAAATTATTCATGAATTGGTTGTTGCTTGGAAAGAGTGAACTGATTTCATTCATATTAAAATGACTGATGCATTTTCTTTTTAGGTGTACACAGAACTTAAAAATTTTGTTTTGGCCGCAGCCTGCTCATATGGTGGACTTGTCTGCTAGTATAAGATTAACAAATGTGCCATTTTGAATTAAGAATAGGAGAGGAGGAAGGGCTTAAAAATGAAATAGAATATACAATGAAGAATTGTTGCAATTCTAATTGTTAAAAATTAAAGTAATAATAAATATAAGTTGCACATTTTATAGTATTAACGTTTAGAAGGATAAGAAAGCAGAAATAATTATTTTATTTAAATTGCTAAAAACACCTTATTGTAATTATATCATAAATATATATTTCAAAAAGTTATAGAACATAAATTACTGAGTATTAGCTATTCTATGTAAATACGAGGGCTATCCAGAAAGTAGATTACGTTTTGGAATAAAAAAATAAGCAAAGTATAGGAAACAAATTTTATTATATACAGATGAAAGCCACACTCAAATACTACTTTTCTACATAGTCACCATACAAATTAAGGCATTTATCGTAGCGATGTACGAGCTTGGAAATTCCTTCGTCGAAAAATTCGGCCGCCTGCGCCTTCAACCACTTCGTTACCTCTTCTTGCAGCTTGTGCGTCGTCATCAAAACGCTGCATAGCCAGCCACTTCTTCATTGCTGGGAATAGGTGGAAGTCGCTCGGTGCCAGGTCGGGACTGTACGGCGGATGAGGAAACAACTCCCACTTAAAAGATTCAAGAACTTTACGAGTGACATTTGCCGTGTGGGGCCGGGCGTTGTCGTGAATCAACAAGATCTTAGAGCTCAACATTCCTCTGCGCTTGTTTTGAATTGAATTGCTCTTCTGAGTTTTTGGAGAGTTTGGCAATACCTTTAAGAGTTTATTGTAGTGCCTCTTTCCAGGAAGTCCACCAAAAATTACACCTTTTCTGTCCCAAAAAACAGTCGCCATCATCTTCCTTGCCGACATTGTTTGCATGCATTTCTTGGGTTTTTGGGGAGAACTTGTGTGCCCCCACTGCATTGATTGCAATTTCGTTTCACAGTTCACATGTTTCACCCATGTTTCGTCACCAGTAACGATGCGATCGAGTAAAGAGTCACCATCCTTATGGTAAGCGTCCAAAAAGTTCAACGCTGCAGCCATTCGCTGATTTTTGTGGTCCTCTGTCAAGATTTTTGGAATCCATCTTGCACAAAACTTGTGTAACCAAGCTTTTCGCTGATGACTTCGTGCAACAAACTTCGCGAAATTTGTGAAAAACTCAAAGAAAGTTCCGTTATTGTGAAATTTCGATTTTCACGGACTTTAGCATCGACTTTTTCGAGAAGTTCGGCGGTCACTATGCTGGGTCTCCCACTTCGATCTTCGTCGTGAACGTTGGTTCGGCCATTTTGAAATCTTATGACCCACTGACGCACTCCACCTTCAGTGATAATGTTGTCCCCATACACTTCACGAAGCTGCTGATAGATTTCTATCGGTTTACAGTTTTTTGCAGTCAGAAACCTTATTACTGAGCGCACCTTGCAGCTCGCGGGATTTTCAATTAACGCAGACATTTCAAACCGTCACAGTATCTGAACGGAGCACAGCACGAACCTCTCACTAGCACGGCTAGATGCAGACTGAGCTGCGCAACGCTCTGACCCCAAGATGGCCGCGCTAGCCCCGCCCCTAGCGGACACAGACGGAAACGTAATCTACTTCCTGGATGGCCCTCGTATCTAATTTTATCATCTATCTTATCATTGTCTCTTACACGAGTCACGATTACTGAATGCAAGTTTCCATGTCAACGTTTCTCCTCTCCCTCAATAGACCCTGCATTTACATTAGCTAATATCAAATGTTGATAGGCTAAATCTTTTTTTCAGTCCTTCAACTATAAACCACATACTAGGATGGCTAGAATTTAATAATGAAATTATTGCGTTATGAAAGCTTTCGCAACAATTTATGGTCTGTACTCCTAGGATAATGGATTTATGTAGAAGAAAAGTATGTAAGAACTTCATTGTACCTATCTTTATCGGGATATCAGCAAGGTGATCGTAAACTCTTCTTAATTTATGGGGGGAAACAAACGATAAAGCAACAAGTGATTTTATCATTAGTTTGCAATCGATTCTTTTTTCAAATTCATTCTTCAAACCAATATTTGAAGTTTTCCTTACAATACTTTAGCATAAGTGAGAGTAATGTCCTTTTATCTCAGAGGTTGTGGAAAAGCATTGGCAGCAACATATATACATGCCTTTTGAAAATCGATTAAAACTTTGTCAGGAACTAAATCCCAAAGTAAATTTTTAATTATATTAAACATTTTTGTATAGATACTTTTGGTCTTTTTTAATAGTACATATGCACAAGGTGGATAAGAATTACTAACTTTTGCATGCCAAGTGTTCAGTTAATAAAATAAACTGGGAATTTATCAAAAGTGCCTTTTCCATAAATTATAGCTTTTATTAATTCCATTAAAATTTTTTTATCACACTGTTCGACGTTTTTCCTTGATAGCAGTGTTAACATGGATTAGCATCTCGCTAAACACCTTACTATCAAGGGTTTTACCTTTCACAAGATACTCTTTGTGGAAAATACCATGGCATTCCCACCAGATACAAAGCATGATATTTT